ATTTGAATTAACTTCAGGATGAAAAAATTCAAACTGTGGAGGCGCATACCAAAATCAATATTCAGCAGAATGCGCTGCAAAATTTCACTGAGACATCCGCGTTAGAAACCCAGTGTCACGCACGGTGACGGCATCAGTACTGTTTCAATGACAAAAAGGGAGTCCAACGTCCACCTTTCAAGAATAACAATCGGCAAAAGACCTATGTCAACGACTGCCCCAGTGCCAATAAAGCAGCATACTTCCGATATTGATACCTGCTGCGGCGAAGGAGTGGGGTTATACAAATTACTTGCATGCGTCGTGAAAATGAATAACTCCAAGAACAGACTGGCATCAGTAGTGTTGAGAAATTATTTGCGGCCTGCCGAAGCAGCCTTTGGTTCGCAAGCCAATGGAAATGCGCCATTGCTGAGCCGAAGTGTATTAAACGTATTGATGGAAAATGTCGTTTCCTACAGCATCAGGCCAGGCACTTCAAGGTTCTCCATAATAACCTGCCTAAAATCCGCAACAATGTCCTGAACCAACTTTCATGAGTGGACATCATTGCAAAATGTGGCTGTTGGCCTACCCTCAGACGCAGTCAATTTATTCCAACAACTATACAGGGGAAAATCGTGGAGGGCCGACACAATTCCAGCCAGAATGAAAAATATTGCGGTCCTTAACCATGGGCAGGTTCGCTTCATCGTTCCGTGAGATATGGACGGAAGGACTTATTTATCGGCCTTCAAAGATGTCATAATCGCCCGCTTATAGTAAATTGCTTGATAAACAGAGGTCATTTTCCACGTAAAATGGTAGACAACAACTTGTTCCAAGTTCTATTTAATTTACTGAATATACATTGTCTGCTGAAACGTTGTTCAGAGTCTAAACGTGGATTGGGGAACGCTGTCTAAATATGCATATGATATTATCCTGTCGCTAATTACAAGAAAACTGTAAAGACCCGTAGACCGACCTCCAAAGGAGTTTCTTTGATCTGAAGAAGACCTTCAATACAGTAGACAGCAGTGGACTTTGGGGAGTCATGCTGATATTCCGGTGTCCCTTGGAACCCACCTGATTTTAAGATAATAAAGCATGTCATGAACATTACATCAGCGGAATAGGCTTCAGTTGTGGCAAATGGAATGAATCAGGGCGGTGTCAGTATAGGTCAGTATATTTTAAGGGTACTAGACAAGGCCTTCAAAAACCCAACTGAAAACGGCACATGCAAGATCTAACTTAAAGCAAACACGGTACTTAAGCGGTTGTCAGTAATATATACATTTAACAGAATATTATCTTCAAAATGCTAGACCGAACCTCAAGAACACTCAGTTGTAGGTGATAAAGTTAAAAGGAAATTACAATCATCCGCATCATCGGTAGGTGTGCGCAAGGCGTTGATTTGTTATAACAGAGCTGTTCTGCCCAGATAAGCGGTAATTTCCAAGTAAAGATACATCTAGTCTTTGCTTGAATGTCTCCGTGGAATCCGCCTTTATCTCGTCTTCGGGAAGTCCGTTCCAGGAACTGATGACTCGCCGTGAAAAAGAGTATCTGCGAATGCCCGGGGGACATCGGGATCCGCTAAGTGTTAGAGATTTCACACGCAGGTTCGTTGTTGTGGTCAAGGTGAAGGAACCATTCAGGTGTAGGACACAGTCCCGATTCCTCAAAATCCGGTTCGCCTGGATGAGATCTATTCTCATCTACTCGTACTCGCGAAGAAATCGGCTAAGCTCATCAAGTCTGCAGTTATCAGGTAAAGTCTTGAGGACTTTCACAATTTTTGGTCGCTCTCCTCTGAACACTTTCTGGCAACTTAAAGTCTTTTTAGCCACGGGCGTCACGCTTAGATTCCATATTCCAGATGCGAAGGAATGCACGCTTCGTATGCTTTTCAAATAACTTTTTGTCTATATCTGCGAAAGTTCGTTAAATTGCAAAGAGAACACTGGTTGCCCTTTTGGCCTCCCTAACGCACTGAGAGGAAGGCTTAAGAGTCGACAAAAAGTTGATCCCAAGATCTTATTGTTCGGTCACATTTGAAAGGCACCTTCCGCCAAGCAGTTAATGGTGATTCTCTCCATCGGCTCTTCCATTCGTTTTGAGTCATAGCGTGACGTAATTCACAAGGTTAAATTTTAGCAGCCATTCTTTGGACCATTCGCATGGGCGGTTTAGTCCTTCTTGCAGGGTCCGTTCATTGCCTTTCCCGTTGATTGCTCGCCATAACTCGATGTCATCAGCAAAAATGACCCCATTGCAGTCCAGTTCAATCAAACAGGAGCTGACATAAATTAAAAAAAGTGCTGGTCTGAGCGTAGAGCCCTGGGGAACTCCATTCACAACTGGCACTGGTGTTGACTTCGCAATACCAATGCACGCAGACTGTGATCGGCCGGTCAGAAAGTCCTCTAACCAGTTTAATAGGTTTTCCCTTATTCCTGACTCTCGAACCTTGAAAAGGAACCGGCGGTATGGAATAATATCAAAGGCTTTTTTGAAATCGATGTAAACGATATCGACCCTTGTTCCTCCGTCTAACGAGCGGGACCACTGCTCCACTGAATAAAGCATATTAGTTAAACAGGAGTGATCTCGTCAAAAGCCATGCAGACAACTAGCAGTAAAGCAATTTTCTTCAAGGAACGTCATAATGGTTTTTTGACTATTCTTTCCATAAATTTGTGATCGCTCCTACCTCCTCCAACCTTGTATTTTTAACAATCCGGATCGATTCTTACCGCAAATACTTACAGGAATTAACATTGACCACCGAACTGATATACGAAGGAGTCTACGATATTTTGCTAAGCCAGCATCCATGACCTCCAGTCCGGTGATGACTGCGCGCTAAATGCCAAAACGGAAGTGTTAATGTAGTTGATTTTGAACTTCTCCAACTCCGGTTGGTTTAACTCCGCGTTTGTCACTAAAGTGGGGAAATCTGTGGCTAGCATTAACCGGTGTTATTGGATAACGCAAAGTATAAGAAACCAGCAGGTATGCTTGTGCGGAATATATTCCGATTTTGGACCTCTGAAGGTCGTCTTTCTGCTGATCGCTGTTTAAACGAGTCGAAAATCAAAAAGTGCAATATGCCGCTTCGGAAAACCGAGCAATCTAACGACTAGTGGACAGCTATGCAACTTTTCTTTTACCTAGTTTTCCTCTTCTCGTTGGCCTTTGTGTACATCTTCTAATTGGTAGGCCAGGTAGAAACTTTATTGACCGAATTTAGGGTAAATAGAGTTATTAATTACCGATATTTACGCCGAAAGTACTCGTTCTTTGTGTGCTGTCTTTCGTGTTTGAAGGTTACATTGTTTCATATTCTTGCGTACTCCCCATCGAAGCGCATTTTGCCGATAATCCTAAGTGCCGTGTCCCTCACCCATTATCCACCATGTCTGACGCTACCCGACCAACAAATGACCTCAGTCAATCTCTGATTGTCATTGTTCCCACCCCACCCAAACTCTTCCAAAACACGTCAGAACTTAATTTTACTGATTTGAGCCCACCTTTAATTCGACAAACATGACTAAGAAACGGATTAAATTCCACAAGCATTTTGAGGTTCTCGAAAGTGCTATAACCTAACATTTGCAGACATAATCTCTAATTTCTTTCGCAGTCTCTCTAGTTTGAGTTAGAAGTGGGAATTTCTCGACTTAATTTGGTACCCAGACGTCAGCGCTATCGGCAGCAGACACGGGTCCGCTGTTGTCTCTGATGATGGATCCGAGCAGGAATCCGAAACGTCAAGCTAATAAAACTCTTGTCCCAGCGTTCGTGTCTCCTTCTTCAGAAAAAATGTATGGTTTTATTCTAATTGCGTAATCCACAAGACATCTCATGCAGTCACAATGACTAACACATGTCTCGTCAACATTTGGCGTTCCCACAAAAAAGTTGGCATGGGTGTCATGACATGATGCACAGAAGAGCGGACACTGAGATGTCTGCAAACAGCACTCCGTAGAGCATTCCAGGCAAAATATATGAACTATAAAAAATGGAAGTCATTTAATCCAGGTCTTAAATTGAGTTAAAATTAAGTCGTTCGAAGTAAAAGTGTTTAACCTTCTTTGACTTCTTCTATCTGACAACCACTTGCCGTTCACAGGAGCTAGCACCAGTCATCCCAAATGTCAAATTCACTACTTAAATGAAAATAGTCTAATGCTCCCCCCACGTGTGTGTTGTATGTAGTAACTCATTTTTGTGTGTATCTGTCTTTATTTGGAGCTTTACACCTTATTTGTTGAAATTAATTATGCTTGTCTTGCTACCCCGCCAACACATGGCCCCGGGGGCCAGACGCGGCTAGATGGGGCCAGGCCCAGTCCAAATTATAGCGAATTTCCACCCTTTCTGATGACGTTATTCTGCCTTATATTAGGCAGATTTTGCTCTCTTATCGTTAGATATAATCATTTTTGCTGGTATAAATTTTCATGGTCTGTGTTTTGGCTGTGTTGGTCCGCTTGCCACCCTGATCCGAATGTCCTCCTCCCGTATCACATATCCAATTCCTGCTTTTGCATTGTGTTCGATCGCTGCAGGGAGAGTTTTTGTAGGATTCCAAAAGAGTCTACTACTTTACTAGAAACACCAAAATTCGTGAACTAGAGATCTCTGAGTTTGAAGGTCGTTGCTACATCATTATCGCATCAATGCATTATCGTATATTTTCCCAAATTTAAACAGTATGGATGACGATGGTAAGCTCAGGAAATTGCATTATGCCGTGTAAGTCGACATCGTAAAGCAGTTAGAAACAAAAATCACGGATGCATTTGACCTCTTCGATCATGAAAGAAATAAGACAATTGATGTTCGTGAAGTTGGCACGGTAATAAGACATTTAGGCTGCTGCCCATCAGAAAAGGAACTACAGGAAATCATCCCACAGGTACCATGTACAAAAAGATAATGTTTAGCTGGAAAACAATCCGCCGAATGGTTATATAAACTTTGAAACGTTTATGCCGGCTATGACACAAATCTTACTAGAAAATAGGTAGGGTACCATACCTAATGCTATCATATTTCTATGAAAGTTTCGCCGCGGCTACGGAGGAGGAGATTGTAAACGCATTCAAGGCACTGGATACGGAAAAGACAGGCTTCATTCCAGTGGACGTGTTGGAAGAACACATGACAAAAGAAGGTGAACCCCTTACAAAGGACGAAATGGAAGAAATGCTCGCAGCCGCAGTGGATGCCCAAAAAAGGGCAGTAAATTATCGAGAATATTCGATTGTTTTGGCCAATACAAAACTGTGTGAATAGCAGTCACTAGTAAAGGATTTTCTGTCGAAATATACCTCACATTTCTTATGCCCTGCCATTTGTTGTTTACATTGGAAAAAAACAACAAAAGTGCTGTCGCTGAAATATTTTTTTAAGAAGTTATATACTGAGCTTATTTAACATGACACAGGTGTACTTTCGACAAAAAACTTCTACTTTCGCCGAATTTTAAATTTATGACGGGCCATATTCTGTCCCGCTGAAATTTACAACCCTTGTTCTAATTGACTTTGCGTTGACGCATGTAATTTTTTGATAAAGCAGTTTGGCTATTTCAGGTACGTTGTAGTTTTTCAAAAAGTTCGTCAACGTATCAAAAGTAAGGAGCATGTTCAAAATAAAAATTCTTTTTGGGTTTGCTAGTACAATTCATAAAACAACTTGATGTTACGTATGTTATAACTCGAGCTATAACACACGTTAATTAAGTCTGTTGTGTGAACTATGCCAGCAATTCCAAACAGCTGCTAACGTGACGCGGAAGATATCACTTTCACGGCATGGTAGCAGCTGTAAACATGAAGCAGTGATTTAAATCTTTAAAAGCTGTGAGAAACGGGTTAGGGTTTTGCATCAAATTGATAATTTACTGTTGTTCTACAGTTCTGGCCGTCAGCTCACACTTGTCTTTTTTGCTAAAACTAGCGGACTAAAATTAAAACTTGCTGAAAGTAATGAAGTAGGTTGTTTAAAAATATGCCTTTGGTAGGGACGAATGCTATAGAAAATAAATTAGCCAAGGAACTTGAAAATTATTTCTTTAAACGCTGATCTCGGAAAGCCAAAAGTGTTGTATTATTCCTCAGTATGCTTTCTTGTCTGTAGCCGCTAATATCCGGTTTTGAGATAATCTTAACACTCAATATTTCTAAATATGACTAATGTCTCTGGGTTGGAAACACACTTTTACAAGGCCTATGCATGCTAAGTGATATAACATTTTGAAAGCTACAACTACTCCCAGGAAACGCGTACTATGCGCTTTCAGCAAGTAAAGTTCGCGGAGGCGCATTTCCTCAAAGTTAATGCAGACAATTAGTTCCTAAAAGGAAATGTCGAAATGTTGAATTCAAAACTTATATATAGTTCTAGTTGACCCCGTACTGTGGTCTAGTGTGTTCTGCTGCGAAATGTCAATATTGCTTTCAATAACAAGGTTCACGTTAACCTTAGGTCGTATTTTTTTAAATATGAATGCATGATCTTACTTCGAAGCAAATGATTATTTGCCGGTAAGAAAAGGTGGAATAAATATGATTTGCCCGAAAGTCCTTCAAATTGACCATTATCATTTTATTTATGCTTCCACTTCTCTGTTGTAGTGTTTTCGCAGACATGCAGAAGCTACTCATTTGACCCTCTTTATCTAAGGACAAGCCACAGTTGAGAGTAGGACAGTATCGTAGTTATCGGATTCAAAATTGCATTTCTCATCCTTTTTTGGATAACGTAGACCTTTTGATGTGTTCGATTACTTGTCATCAGCCCTTTCTTCTTTCACTCTGCCGACTTCGGTTTTCTTAAAAAGGTGTCTGCTACTTACTCAAATGACCTTTGATATTTAGGCTCATGCCGTCAACTAAGGCAAGTTATCATTTTAGCACTAAGGATCCCGGTAATTGAGGATTAAAAATGACACGTTTTCATACAAATACATCACGGTGGCTAGAGCTTTGGCTGTACTAATGCCGTTCCCTTGCTGCCGTGGGTTCGAATCCCACCGAGGCGCCGAGGTGTTCACAGCTGGGCTAGTATGAATCGTTCAAATTCTGCCAAAATAATTAGGAATTGCGTGGGTCTGATAGTCATTTGGTGGATTCTAGGTTGAGTACTTACAAAATCCTGCTTGGACAGTCAGCTTGCTGCATCAGATTTTGGTGGATTCCAGGCGCTGCTGTGGGTTGGATGTCAACTTGATCTAAATGTGACTAAACTCACGTCTCCCGGTGGCGCCTTTTAGATCATGCGGCTAGGATGTTGGCTGTATCAAAGCTTTTTCTCTGCTATCGTGATGCCGAGTTTTTATTAGTTGGGCCAATATGGATTAAGTATCTGTTGGAGGTGGTTTAGGTGTGAGGGAGAAGTTTACCCTTTGATGACCGAAGATGATGATTTTTTCGAGAATTTTTGCTGAACAGATGTATACGGAAAAAGTCGCGTTGCACCAATAAGTACAAATCAAGTCGACATAGTTAAATAACTGAAGTATGGCGAGATAGGCATGCAGTGATAATTTCAATTGAAGCCTTGCGACGAAAACTTGGTTAAAAGGTTGAGACCATATGGGAGATAAAACTGTCATCGCTCAGAAGTGAAGGCCACGAGGGAATGCGGCCGAGAACTAACCACAACAGTGAAAATTAGGAATCTCAGTAGAATACCCACATGGCGACATCTTCGATATAGATCTACCGCACGTAAACAAGTTATCATCACAGGAGGAGACGGTTTTCCATTACTACAGTAAAAAAGGCTAACACAGACATTCCGGATTAGCTTAACTCACTCAGTTATTTGAAGATCGGAAAATTTTTCCATTTTAAACACCCGAGCCCCTCTCCAAAATTAGATGGATTAATTAGACTAAGGTGACCGACAAGCAGTTGTTTGTACGTGTAGTATAAAGCAAGGTTTTTTCGACACATCTTTGATGTACTAGACTCGAGAAAGTGCACAGCGAAGTCTGTCTTGTGCAGAGGTCCCGTTATGTGTCATAATGCGGAATGTCATAGGCAAAAAGCCCGCACTTTCCGTCATTAGCTGACTCGAAGCTGTTCTCCCCTGTTTATGGAATGAGCGTCTCAGTCAGAAGGTATTATGGCAAGGGCATGGTTTATGCCCAGGGTCACTTCAAGGAACAATTCTGCTAACAGAGAATAACTGGCGATGCACATTTGTTCTTGCCGGAGAAAGAAATAAAAGACCTCGCGCTGGCCGTTGTATGAGAGTGTTCAAGATACTTTAAGGTAGTCATCGGAGTAAAAATATGACCATATTATGTCTTTCTAAAAATGTCCACAAAGGGTCATTAAATGCGTCTGCTATTATCTTTAAATGGCAAAAATAGTGTCCCCTTTTAATCGGCAACAATATGCATGATGCAAATTTGTGATAACACGAAGTTCTTAGATGCTCGACTCCTTTGCTCAACACTAGTGCTTCCCGGTTTACGTAACACTGGCCATAAACCATATGGCTTGCGGGTCCTACTGCCGCTGCCAGTTTTTGAAACTGATGAGTTACTGTACGCTCTTAAGCTCAGTTGCGATTTTTCATGGAGCCCAGTTGTGGAGGCGAACCCTCGCCCAGGACATATTATAATAGTTACACTTCTCATGAACTTGGTGCAAGACTATGGGTAGCAAAGTGTTAAATGCTTCAGATATAGGAGTTTTCGAACGTCATTGTTTCATCTCCTGTTTAATGCCACAATCATCCTATGCTTTCTCAGGCGTCTTATGAATCTAAATTCCTGACCAAAAGACTGCGAAAATCAAATCCGTCCCTAAGACATTTTCTGAAGAGGAGACAACTTGGTTAGATCGCCCCAGTATTTGGAACAATACACAGCGACGGTGAAAATTTTGTACATAAATTTCACTTGAGATGTGTGCACATTACGCTGCCCGTACTGAGTTCTACATATCACGCGGCAGGTCCCTGACAATCGGTCAGTGAAAATCCTGAACGCGGGCTCGGAATTTATAAGCGCATAGTGGCCACTCCCATTAACGCTTGATGATTCTCCATACCATGTACCCCACTATAGTTCCAATTACCCACAGATTCTGCTAACTTTCGTGTCCAGCATAGGTCCTGCCTGTAGATAGCCTTCTGTTTTACATATATAGCATTGAGAATGCACCTCCCCGAACATAGGTTCATTTGTGCCTACACCGTTACTCTTCTGGCCTAAGAACATTGGGACTTTGAATGCTTCTTGGTTGCAGACAACAAGAACTTTGAAATATACACTGAATTGACCGGAACATTGTCATTTACGATTACGCTAGAAATAACCTCTAAATAGGAGCTCCTCCGGACCAGTGTCGCGGAATTTGGACGGCAGCACTTCTCTCAAGCGTAATTTAATCTCTAAACATGAGTCAACCTGGGATGGGGAATACGGTTTTCAAAGTAGCTATTGGTTTTGTCAGATGCACCAGGAATCCATTCAGAGTATTTAATATTCCATTGCAAACCGAATTCTCACTCTTCAAGATGAAGTCAGATTAATTCGAGTATGCGATGCTCATCTAGCGAATAGTCGTTAGTTTTAATGATGAGAATGCGTGTGTAAACCCACGTTAGAAACGGAAGACTCGTCAAGGGATGAGGTGTGCATTATTGCCTGTCATCACAAGCGCCTATAACTAGACGTTCGTCAGCGGAATCAGTCAACTGCTGGATCGATATCCTACCTGGGTCGACGAAAACCTCCTTGACAAAGTCTGCTGGCTGTCCACCTAAATAAAAACCCCAAACTGCTTCAAAACATTAAAAAACTCGTAGCCGTTCTGGTCAGCATCACGTTCGACGGTTAGATCGCGGATATCGGAAAACAGTTACCGGTTTTGGGCCATATTAAATATGTATCTCCAAAGGGCGGACGAAACCCAGCACTCAGGCCGCCTCTCAGAATCCAGTTGACGATGGTTAGACGATATTCGGAATGTTCCAGACGAACGCCATCCCTTTATCAATCTGATGGCTCTGTGCATAGCTGCGGCAAGCGAGAGCTGTCGGCGAATTCATCAACTACACTAAGGTCTTATTTCCTCCCGCGCAAAGAGGATCTGTATGCCTCTTTCTCGTGGTTAACCAACTACAAATCTAGGTATGAAGCATGCCTACACGCTTAGACTTAGACTTCAGAAATGCCAGCAGTATTAGTACAGGTCGAGGGTTATTTCGATAGAGGAGACTGCCATATGAAGTAGAATCTGTTCCCCGTTAACTTCGGTCATTGCTTGACATTCTTGTCAAGGAAATACCGCGCGTCTACATATGCCTTGACAGCTTATAAGAGACCAACTCATCCCCGTCTAGTCATCCGAGGACCCTTAAGTTAACAGGTCAGGTAGAAGTTGTTTTCTAGCTCAAGAAAGATAACTGCACATTTCTTGCTGAACTGGTGGATTGCTTGGGTGTTCAGTTGGATAAGACAGGTCTTATCCGCTGGAACATAAGATCGAAACTCCGGAATCATCACCGCGCTTGGTCATGGTAGTCAGTTACTTTTATTCTTTGGATAGGTTGCTCAAATTTGGTCGTTTCAAGAATCAGCAAGCTATCGCGTGCTTTAAAAAAATCGTCAGAGGATAAAAAATGATTTAAACCGACAAAAACGGCTCTAGTCTGCTCATCTGACCTGATTCACTACGGCCTCGATAAAAGCCTGTCATACAGAAATTTTGCTCATCTATATTCCCTGAGTGCTCAATTAGCACACACGCATGCACTAAATGCCTTCTGATGTCGTAATGACGATGTTTTTGCACATAAGACCACACAGGCGGAAATAAACTATTCACAGCTAGATGAGTACGTCTAACTAAGGATTTTTGGCAAAAAACTCTTCACTCTGTACTTTACTGACTGCATCTCCGAGATTCATACCGACCGCAAACATCGGTCGAAGTGGACACTTAATCATTTCGCATATACGGCAAAATGTGTTACAGGTAGCGCAAACATAGTGGCTGTCGCCTTGAGTAGGCTCGCAACACTGACGACGTTGTTAAGGACACGCCCGTCCTTAAGACCCTTATCTGTTATAGATATTAGTCGGCACACTCAGAACCTGCCATCGATATGACGTGCACACCTGACTCCGAACAGTTACGCCTAGAGAAAATATCTGTGCACGGTTGGCGCCTGAAGAGAACTGATGTCTGGCGGTAGTTCGAGGGAGCCAGGAAAGAACTGAAAATTTTGCCTTAGAAGTTCAAAGAACCGTGTGCCAATATTTCGACTAGGTTCACATTCGCACAAGCGCAAGTGGTAAAAATTTTGAGAAGTCCAAACTGGCAGCAAACTCTGACGTTGATACCGGCGTTCAAATGACAGAAGAACCACTACCTACGAAGAACACCACAACACCAGCCGAGGTGTTTGTCTCTCATCCTCCTACCCGAAAAGCGCCAACTTAGATTTTAAAGAACAGCCGACTCCGCAAAGCAGCTCAGGATCAAAAATACCGCCGTGAAACGACCAGTCCGTATCTGCCATTCCAAACAGATCTTGGGGCCGGATCCCACTAGAGCGTCTGTTCAGTATTCATTATTGAATTTACTGCCTTTCTTATCTTCCCCGATACCGGTCACTTCAGGGTGGAGGGATGCGTTGTATGCTGCCGCACCGACTCCTGGATGCCACACCACATGCCCTTGACGAATAAACCTTCAATATTATGAACACTTGATCAGAATTTCTAGGCACTGATTGGTCAGCTATCGACTTATGACGTTTTTCATGCCATGTACTCCTTGATAGCTCCCCAGACGTACTACGTGGGCTGTTCTCTGTACCCAATACAAGTTCTGTTTGCAAACAGTCTTCTGTTTTACGTGTATATCGGTCTGCTGGTGGCTTCCAGTCAGAACTAAGGTGGAATATTAAGGAACTGGGCAACGGCGCAATTTTGATTCACTGAGTGTCGAGAGTATTGTCTCCATTTCATCGTGTGCTGCATGCCATTGGACTTCGCTGCCTTGCTAGTCAATTTGTGATGTGGCTGGCGCTAGCCATGTAGGAATGGTCTTTTATTTGTAGTGTTGCTCTGTTTAGCCATGCCTTTTCATCATGTCTTTCACGGACAGCAAGCATTGGTCCAGTGATATAACTACCCACTGACGGCTGACAACGAGCTTTAATGTAGTGGTTGATCAGGCATAAGGTCCACGTCTGTTAGTGTTAGAAGATGCTGGCTGCTCCCTGCCGTCCGAACCGATTCTGTATAATCCCGACACAGCAGTAACCCCCATCGGATCTAATATATCACTTTAAACAGTTGCTGTTCTGCGGCCGCTACGCAGAGTTCAGCTTCATGGAAAACTGAGTGCCGCGTGTAAACGGGATGAAAAAGTCAGGACGACTTCTATACGTATAACGTTTATACACGTTACTAGGGCACCTGATACACCCGAGTGCAACAATCGCCCCATGGCAGACAAATCGCCTTGGGCTGGAATTGTCTGAGACAGTGCGATGAATGCAACGACTAGGAGCTCGGCAAGCACACGACCAAAGACTATATGGACGTCAGAATACCCTTTTGACGAGTAGACTGTCGCGGAGTCATGTTTTTCAAATCTCACCCAGACGCAAACGAGCTAACTGCTTTTATTTATTAGAATCTGGTCAAGGATTGCCTCTATAAGTAAACAAGTTAAACGTCAAGAAGGCTCGACCCGAAAATACGCAAACACTTAACTAGTCAGTTTAGCTCATCGTCGCAGACCGTTTTCCGCTACGAGTTCGACGATAAACGCACAAGGACAATGTTTCGGATCAGCACCAAAACGGATCGAGAATCGCTTTATACCTTGACCCCTAATAGTAACCACACAACTGGCTTATCGATATAAACAAGTATTTGACATACTGCAGTCTTTTGCTGGTCGGCGCGGTCGCACTTTCAGCCAATGGTTTGCGCGGATACGTGGGAAACCACAATTAGCATCTATGCTACACTGTTTTTCCCTAGTCCATGCGAAAAAGACTGCCAGCATGTCTGGAAGCTACGGCAAAATAACACGTATCATTGAGACGTGTACATTTATATAAAGATTTCATGGACGCTTCATCAGACCTTCCTTGTCAATTTTCATTTCAGTGCCAATATCTTCAAGTTGGTGTCTCAGAGGACTTTCGGCTATTAAGTGCTAATGTGACGACTGATTTGTCTTCTTAATAAAAACTAATTCCGAGGAAGCATGTCTCGATTTACAAGATACTTAGGCTTAAATTTGGCATGACGCAAATATCATTGGAGTACTCTGCCCATAAGCACATGCCCTGAGCCAAGGCTCAGACCGTTTGCGACAGCCAATATGCCTATAATCGGGTTGTTAGTTTTGTCCTCTCTGCCTGACGTAGAAACCGTCCGTGTCTTTGCCGTCGAACCCGCACACCTCCTCTGTTTCTGCTACACGTAACTAAATCTTTTGTTTATATGGTCCACCGGTGGAATGCTGGCTGAGTGATTTGAGCAACTCTCGCATCCAGGACCTGATTTCTCACAGAAACCATCTCATTTGCTGCATGATATTCTTCTTTTTTAAGGGGCTCATAAGTCCGAAACTGTCCTCCTCAACGAGCCTTCGTTCATCACCTTCGTCGCATTTTAAGAGACATCAAATAAGTTAACGTCAAACCTGGTCTTTCTGTCTTGCGAAAACATGTCAAGAAGAACAAGACAGAATGGACCAGACTTTAGGTGACATCGCAACTTGTCCATTATTTGACAAATGGATGGTGAGTCACCCTTTTCGGAAATGAGCGTATACCGAATTGTCTATTCTACGGAAGCTCAGTAAAATTGGTCTTCCTCGAGCATTTAGTAATCGAAAGTGTCTTAGAATATTTAAGAGTAACTGGGTGCTTTTTCATCAAAACTATCAGTTAGAAGATCATTTTATGACGTGAAAAAACGTCGTTGATAACCAATCTCCCAGGCAACTGTTAAGGACAGTTATTTTGTAAAACCTGCCCTGGAGTTAGGACTAAGGAAGAATGTCCTGTGTGTTATTATAAACGCATATTACTGGTAGTCGCCAAACTGACGTTTGTTACTTTTTTTGCATATTCGACCCAGCGCCAGGGTCGATGGGTCAGGTGGTCGAGCAATCATCACACCAACATCCAACGCACGTGATGAAATTGCAGCAATTAACGACGCGAATATCGGCCATCAAACAATCATTACGCCAAGCACAACAACCCCCGATGAAGGGGGGGGGGCAATCGTGAATTTTCATAGGTTGTGGTAGCATAGCGACTGCATACTGCAGCCCCTTGTGCATAAACCACCCGTATCTTCTATTGTATCTGATGGTGGGTTGGAGCAGGAACCCGAAACGTCAGGCGAATAAAGCTTTTGTCCCAGCGATCGTGTCTCCTTCTTTGCGGTCCCTTCCCGTTTATAAAGGTGGACGGTTGTGGCGTCCCAGAAGTTCTGGGGGACTTCTCCTTGACGCCGCATCTCCTGGAAAAGCGCCGTCGAGTGTTCCATAAGCTGGGGCCTCCGTGCTTGTAGATCCCAGCGGAGCTGGCGTCTGATCCGGGCGCTCTCGCGCTCAAGAGCTGTTGCACGGCCTTGATGGTTTCGTAGAGAGAGAGAGAGAGAGAGAGAGAGCGAGATAGAGAGAGAGAGAGAGAGAGAGAGAGAGGGGGAGAGAGAGAAATGTTCGGCCCATCGCTGCAAAATTTGTGTCATCTCAGTAAGTAGAGTACTGTCGACGGCGCTGAGAAGAGGAGCACTGCCTTTGGCTGTGGAACCATAGACAGCTTTGATCGTGGCGAAGAAGTTCTTTCATTCTTTGCAGTCCACGTATCCTTTGATCTCCTCGGCCTTGCGAACCGTCCAGACCTCCTACATCTCCTGCAGTCCCAGTTGCACAAGGCGGCGACTACGGTAGAAGGCTGTTTTGTTGTCTTCGGTGGGCGATTGACGTAGGCTGTGCGCAGTCGGTTTTTATCGGCGAGCAGGTTGCTGGTGGCAGCGTCATCATCAAACCAGTCCCGCAGTTGACACCATCGGTTCTCGACAGAGGCGTTCCCATCAGCGGCAGCAGCGACGGGAATGTTGGCTAGCCGTTGATGATGAGCAGGCAAAGACAACAAAGTAATATTCAGCTTACCTGGGGATCGCTTACCTTGGGGTATCCTGCGAGGCTGTAGACGAATCCGCATCTTGTAGATGACGAGGCGATGGTCAGTCCAGCCGTCGGCACACGGGATCCCCTTTGTCACCAGCACGTTCCGCTGGCCTCGCCTTCGGACGAGGACATAGTCTGGCAGATGCCAGTGCCGCGACCGAGGGTGCATCCACGTGGCCTTGTCTTACGTCGGAAGGCAGAAAGTAGTGGTCAGGATGAGGCGGTGTTCTGCGCAGATTCGTAGGAGGACTAGGCCATTGTCGTTGGAGCCGTCGAGACCATGGGGACCCAGCACTCCTCTCCAGGCAGCATGGTCTGTTTGCGGAGATGCACACATGGACACTCTCACCTGGTTTAGTCCATCGGTCGAGGCGGTTGTCGGGGCGTGGCCGCTAGGCAGAGCCTAGCATCGGGGAGCCACATGTGAGAGTTTGGTGTCAGTTAATGGACGCTAGACGTAGTCTACACCTGCAAGCGAGGGAGCGACCTACTACGACCATCACGTGGACCCACAACTGGACACCCCCATACCCCAACAATGGACTCACTATAAGATCGGCCTGCACCAGTACCCAAGGCGTCAGACACCCCATCCCTTTATGACAGCTTGCCAACTCAGCGGTACTTGTCGACGGGATCGCACCAGCACACCCTCTGTCCTCTGCTTCAACTGCAACTTTGCACAGGCGGCAGCATCTGCCTATATCTCCAGTTCTAGCAACCCCTCCTACAATCAGCACAACCTCTTCAGCCTGCACATGAATTGATTCACTGTCTCGTCGCCTAATCCATCGTCGGCCTCCTGACTTTCTTTGTTGTCTGAAGGGAAGCTGTAGGCACCACAAGCGCATATGAGCCTTCTTACTTGTCACGCATCCCACATCAGGATACATATAACCACATCTTCCGAGTAATGTTGCATGTGCGAATTCCGCCCAGAGTACGGTCGACCAGAGACGAGCACAAAATCAGGAGCCATCAAATCAGATCATCAATTTGCGCTGGCTGTCATGTGAGACATATTTAGTCATTCGCGCTCTCTCCGCTCTTGTTCAGACACACACACGCGCCCAACGCCGACCGTACGTCGAGCGCCCCGACCGTCGTCAGCCTTCTGCATTGAGTGGGTACCTCTTACCTATGTCCTCCCCCACCTCCTGAAACAGGCTCACGCCCTGGAATGGCGGTGGTTATCCCCATTAGCTTAGATTCAACTCGTTAACTTGATGAATGAATTTTCGACATAATGTCCCCGGTCCACATTTACTGCTAGCCCATATTGTCCATACGCCTTCAGTGACTCTACATAACCCTCAACGTTGGGTTGCACGAATTTCATCGCAGACTTTCACCGGCTCCACTTCCCTTTTTGATTCGCCTGTCTCTATAGTTCAAATGAAATCGTTACTCGTCGATTCAGAGTACTAAGTTCTATTGTACGATGCGACAAAGTGTGAGCTAAATGCCGAAGACCAACACGGCTTGCGTAATATTAGAATGAATGTGAAAGGGTTAACTTCCATGGCTGGCAGCTGGATGTCTTTGAGTAACCGCTTCCACAAGCTTGTGATCAGCCTTTTCATAATGACTGGTTCCATTTTCTATGAAGTATTGATGCGTCCTAAAGGTTATGATCAATCCAATCTTCCGCGTTCCAATGACCTATCAAAGAGGCTTGTCCGCTTAGCTCATCACCGTTTGCCTAAATCAGTTCCACTGCATCACTTAGAGCAACTAAT